TTGAATAAACAGTACAGGCGACATGAGCAAACTGCTTGGAGACAAATGCATGTTTATTGTGTGTCCTGCAGAGTCCCTAAAAATGTACCGCACATAATTCCAAACAGACATTGTAGAAAAGACAGGCTTCAGGTCACTGGGCCTTTGTCATTTGGCTTATGCTGCGTAATCCTCTTCATTGGCCTAACCTGACTTCATTAAGACAATTTCTTACCACTTTACATGAACATGGAAATCCTTTGCTGGCATGTAAATCATGTAATGCTTTTGCTAAATTGCAGTATTCAGAAAGACATGAAGACATAAATGTTTATTTTTAACTGATCTGGGATATGAACAACATATAACATATTTAAAGATGACTTTATTGACTTGATACTAATATAGAACTGCATTCACAGGAAAAAAAAAATCAGGAAACAGAGTCATTTTTTTGATTTTTTTGATTTTTGATTTAGTTTTTTTTATTTTGTTTGACCGGTTCTCCTTCCCAAGGCCTAGTCCACAGACCTCAAAACAGAATCACTAATCGCCGGCTCAGTGGATTAGTTCCTGAGCTTCTCTGTTGGAGAGACACAGGTGTGCAATAGGCTCAGTGTCTGTCCATGTGAGCTTCTCAAGCTTATAGCACTCTCTCTCTCTCTCTCTCTCTCTCTCTCTCTCTGTCTCAAGACAAGCTACCTAATCCACCTTCCATACGGACGTTTATTGTTGTTGTTGTTTTGGAGGTGATTTAATAAAAGAAAATATGGTAACAGCTTATTTTGATGGTCCATTAGCAGACTGTCTGCTTAACATCTGCTGATACTGCTCTTTCAACAGGCATTTAACTGACTATAAGAAACTTTGCAAGTACATGTCAACTTACACTAACCCTAACCCCAACCTGACAGTCTACTTATAATCTAATGAGAATTAGTTGGCATGTAGATGCAATGTAACTTAAATTCAACAAACGGACCATCAAAATAAAGTGTGACCAAAATGATTTGTAAAATGACAACTTGTCTAGTTCTTCATGTCAGCGCCACACTACAGTATCAATCTAAATCTCTCTGAAATTTTCTCTATGGGTTTTGAGAGTTATGGATGTGTTGTTAGTCCACTGTGAGCAACTTTTAAAGTGTTTTTTTTTTTTTTTTACCATATATGTTTTGGGGATTAAGAAAAGGCATGCACATACAGTACTTGCCTGTGTTGACATATGTGGATAGTAATTGGGAGGTTGGGTAGTGACAGATGGATTTACACACAATATTTCGACGTCAAAAGAAATAGGAAACATTTTACAACTTTTTTATGTGAAAGTTGTCTTGCGTTTTTATTTTAAAATCTATTTATAAAATTAATTATAAATTAGTACTTTTCTCTTTGTGACAAAGATGCACATCACACTGTGTCCTCTTATTGCACTTTTTAGACTTTCTCCAAATATAGCAGATTTATTAAGCTGTACTGCAAACGCCCATGTATTTTTGACACTGTTAGCAAGACGGTGTATTCTTTGATTATGGAAACTTTCCCCGAGTTTTGACAACTGGTTGCGAGATTCAATGAGCTTCATTGCATTTTGAAAAAATCAGGTTTACAATAAACAGTAATACTAGGGTTTTTTCTGAAACATGGGACCCATTTACAGTTTTTTTCTGAGCGTGTCAGTATATCTACAGACTGTCAATCTAAATATTTGGGCCTTTCAACTGCAAATGTAACTAAGTATTTGTTTGTAATGTTTGTAATATTGGGTTATCAAGGTACTGTACATGTGTATTCTGTACAGGTTTTTAAATAATTTTTATTTATTTACATTTTTAATTATTATTATTATTATTTCTTCTTTTCTTTCTTGGATAATTTCATCTTGTTTAGAGGGTAAGGGTGGGTAAAATTACTTTGTTATATCTGTAAAAGTTTAATAGACAGATCAAAAAAGTAATACTTTTATTCAACAAATAAATGCTATTCTTTTAAACTGTTTTCAAAAAAAAAAAAAAAAGGATAATTCAACCAAACAATTAAATTATTCACCTTTTAGTCCCCCTCCTCAAATGGTTCCAAACTTTAGTTGGTTTAATTGATCTGTTGAACACAAAAGTAGATACTAAGAAGAATGTCGGAAACTAGTACCCACTGACTAGTGTAAAAAAAATACTTTTAAAAATGACTACTGGTGTCCAACATTGTTCAAAGTATCTACTTTTGTGCTCAACAGAAGAAAGAAACAAGGATTGGGTAAGTAAATGATGACATGAGAATTAAGAAACTTAATCTTGGGCTAAATCGTGATTTTAAAAATAAAAGTAGCTATTCTAAATTGTAACATTATTTCCCAATAGTACTATATAGATTTTGGTCTTAAAAGGCAGCTCATAAAACTTCAAATGCATTAAAATCATATTGAACCAAACCAGTAAAAAATAATGTATATTTAAAATTAAAACTTTTTTTTTTTTTTTTACATTTTGTAATTCACATTTTTAATAGGAAGCTATACAATATTATATTTGGAGATGATCTAACAAAATGACTTACAATAACCGTCCAATAACTAGTACATCTACATTTATATAATATATAAAAATATTTAATACAAATTTAAAAAAGAGGAAAAATCAAGAGAAGCAAAAAATATTGGAAAATTTAGTTGAAATTTTGTAGGTTGTAATTTAGTTTTGCAAAATTTTACTTAAATTTAATTGAATTATTGTTCTATTTCTGTCACTAAAACATTGTTTTAATAAATATATCTGTTTAATATAATGTACTAATATACATTACCTATTCACTGAGAAATGGATACAAATATTCATTTTCAAAATAAGGTGTACTCAATTATGCGGAGCACTGTAATGTGATATGAATTTTATAAGATATGATGAACAAAAAAGACTGTAGTCTGAAAAGTTTATACAAATGGCAACTGTTTTGCTTGCTCACAGCGACATGTCTGGACCCAGACCGGTAGTTTTGAGTGGCCCGTCAGGAGCTGGGAAAAGCACCCTGTTGAAGAGACTCATGAAAGAATATGAAGGGGTTTTTGGTTTCAGCGTCTCTCGTATGTATCAGCGTTATGGACAAACTAGACAGCTACATGACAAGTAACCAAATAGCAAAAATTCCGCATAAGTATTTATATTACCTTGATCTGTTTTCTTTTCCCCTGCAGACACCACCAGAAATCCTCGGCCGGGAGAGGAAGATGGAAAAGGCAGGCCAGGATTTTCCCACTTTACAAATATAATACTTGATATATAAGTTTACAAGTGGAAAGGAGTAAATAACCTAATTAAATGCCTACTAGTTTGCGAATTAGAAAGTGAATGAAAAGCAGAAATAAATACGAAATAGAAAGGATTTCTCACCTATAGTTCCCTTCCAGTTTAAAAGACCCTCTAGTCTGTAAATGTATTACACACAATTGTGCTGCATGCTTCTTACTCCCAAGTGAACTGTTTAGATATATTTCCAAACATTTATAGTCATTGCCTTTGTTGTTTTCTCTAGGGCTGAATTGTCTCCCAATGCTTCTGGGGGCTACATTACTTCCTGTAGCGGACGTCCTGTCCTCTGTGACATCTGAAGGTGTAGATTTGGTTTCCATCATTGATTATCGCAGATTATTGGCATATTTAATGTGATGAGCGAGTAATGGGGGTTACTTTCATCTTTCTCAAATCTTCAAACTTTGTAAGCAAATTACATTCTAGGCCAAAAATCACAAAGCTAAGATTGTGAACATCACATTTTCACTTTGACATCAATGCACTTTGGAGTAAAAAGCGTTTGAAAATAGCCCCCTGTGTTCCCTATAGTGGTTCTACTGTGGCAGCTCTTCCCTAGATCACAAGCCGTAGCCAGAGACAACTCACATCACAACATCTGACCATACTTTAGGACTTTAAGGTAGTAAGGATAAATATGACATCTTTTTTTTTGTTTTGCTTTGTTTTTGGAGTATCTTGAAAGCAGTCATTACTAGTTGAATGGGATATATGCACACAGGCTTTTAATTTCAGTCAGCCAGCCTCAGAGCTTCTGGTTTATTGTCCTCCAATACAAAATCGCCATGCTTAAGATCTGATTGAAAAAACAGCTATCTTCACTGCCTGGCTGAGATATGATATAAAGTGAGAATCAGACCAAAAAAGAAGCACTGCATTATATATATATATATATATATATATATATATATATATATATATATATATATATATATATATATATATATATATATATATATATATATATATATATATTTTTTTTTTTATTGTGCCATGTCTCTAAAATGTGGAAATTAGTTTTACCCTACTATTTTCAATAGAATTTCTGAGTTAACCTGCTGCTAATGACAGCGCCTGCGTTTCAACATTCTTTCATCTCTTTTTACGCTTTAACAACCAAAGGGATGCTTAAGTCTATTTAACAGATTATATTTGAACTACATTACAACATTCATGCTGTAAAAGGAACCTTATGAAATTGAAAATAGTCACATAAACCTCTCACCGGAGGTTCGTCATTGGCTGAAAAACACTAGCTGTGCATATAGCCCATTGTTTCATAATGTTTTTCCTCAGACAGATGTTGTTATGCCGATGGCTGTCTCCATTGCAGAGCTGTCACGGATGATGTCAGTGTTTTGCTGTCCTGTAGCTGTGAATTGGTTGTTTTGTGTTGTCTGCAGAACCCTTACTGTCCCGCTTTAGTTCCCCCTGAAGTGCTGTTGTGGAGTTAAGCCTTCAGAATGGTATGAATCCAGTAACCTAAAACACTTTTTAGCCCAATTACAGATTTCTTATAGGCCTTGTGAGGAGGATTTCTAAGATTATACATTTCTATGAAGTTAAAATTCAAACCCACATGAAAAAAAAACTATAGTAATTTATTGTAAATACCATGTGTTTTTAGCCATGCTATGGTAAAGTGTATTATACTGTAGGCCTATATTTTATAGAATGTACAATTCTTTGGTAATGAATACTCAATCATTCTGTAGTATTAATTGTAGTGAACTAATTAACCAGAATAAATACTGTAGTATACTTTAGTTTTACTACAATTAACTGTGGTGTAGGCTATTGTGGTATAATATAGTTGTAGACTACTACAGTATTGAGTATGAAGTCACAAGTAATTTTCTATAGATCAAAAACACTATAATATTTCCTACTGTAGTTGCTGTAGTATTTTTTTCAAGTTTCAAAACTATCGTTGACGTTTAGTAAGATATGAAGAGTTCAGATGCAAAAACCTCCAAGTGCCATCTAAAATTTTCCTCTAAAATTTGTGTTTTTCTCAGCCTCCTATGTTATTTAAATTTAAAGGTAATGAAAATAACTTATTCTTTGCACCAAGAGTAAAATACTAAAACTACACACAACAGCCTGAGAAAAAGTAATAAAGTTTATATGAAAATTTCAGATGGCACTAGAGGTTTTTGCATCTAAACTCCTCATATACTGTTTGTACAATGCACAGTTTCTGATACCATCACAGTTATTTGGCGCCCTCTAGTGAGCTTATCAGATTATTTGTTGTTATCTACCAAATATGAAAATTTTGTATGTGTGTACTCATCTTTTGAAAATCCTTTCTTACAAATACTATTTGAATTTGTTTTAATGGTTAGATTATGTTACATAAATACACTTTCTTGCCATATGTTGACTTGCAACAGACCAACAGACAATGTTCTGAAAATGATTTTGTTTTTAACAACATATCTCTTTTCCGTCCTCAACCCAGATTACCACTTTGTCACCAAAGAGAAGATGCAAGAAGGAATTGACAAGGACGAGTTCATTGAGAATGCAGAGTTTTCAGGAAATATGTATGGAACCAGGTACGTTTTGGACATTGATATCTTATTATCCATTACTTGGTCTTCTTACCAATGCTCAAAAATACCCTAGATTCAGAAACATTGTCTTAAATGCTATCATATTTTCTGTTACATGCAGCAAATCATCCATTGAGGATGTCCAGGCACAAAACCTCATCTGCATCTTGGATGTTGACATACAAGGAGTGAAAAACATCAAGAAGACCGATCTGAACCCCATATACATCTCCATCCAACCACCTTCAATGGAGATCCTGGTCAGCTGATCAAAAATAATCTGATACACAGCATTTAATTTGTCTTCAAATATAGAAATTTGTTTGTTTTGTTTTACAGGAAAAGCGTCTGAGGGACAGACAAACGGAGACAGAGGATAGTCTACAGAAGCGACTGGAAGCAGCGAGGATTGACATGGAGCTCAGTAAGTCGCAACTCTTACAATAATTTATATTTGCTTGAGAGAAGACTTTTATTCCCCATGTTTTTTCAAAATGTTGTGTAGTAGCATTTTTTATTTTATTTTTTTGTTTAGTTTTTATTTCAAATTGTACATCTCAAAACAGGGAACAATCAACAGTGCAAGACACTTTCAAACAAATAAAATAAAATACTTAGAAAAATACCAGGAGCAAGGATCAAAACAAATGATACGTAAGTAAATCAAAGGAAAGAAAAACATTAAAGTAATAAATAAAATATTTAGTAATTTTATTTGTATTTATTTATTCATTAATATTTGAAGCTTTGAACCATTTTTTTTATCCCAAAAAGTAAATATTTAGAAGATAGCACATGTTTTTTTTTCCACTTAGATGAATGAATATGATATTTACCCAGTGCTAAAATAAAATTGACAATATTATTGTGTAAATCACATATGAAAAAGATGGCATCTTCTAAAACAATAAGTGGGTTTAAAACCATTTTAATGAGAGCCAAGTATACATTTCCTGACAAAAGTCTTTTCGTCGATTCCAGTTGTAAGAGCAACAAATAATAACTTGATTTCTATTTGATCAATTGGAAAAGTGGCAAAATATTTTTCTGATGAATCATCTGTTAAACTGCATTCCAATCATCACAAATACTGCAGAAGAGCTATTGGAACCCGCATGGACCCAAGACTCTCGTAGAAATCAGTCAAGTTTGGTGAAGGAAAAATCAAGGGTTGGGGTTACATTCAATATGGGGGCATGCGAAAGATCTGCAGAGTGGATGGCAACATCAACAGCCTTTCAAAACCTTTGCCTTTCATATAAGACACTTTTGATACCAAATAATCAACTAGAAGTTAAGTTATTATTTGTTGTTCTTAAAACTTGGATAGGCAACAAGACTTTTGTCAGGTAGTGCAGATATCAAACGAGAATTTATATTAGTATACTTACAAAAAAACAACAGCAATAAACAATTAAGTGTGTTTGGAAAATAAGAACAAAAGCTACACAAGTCTACCCCAAAGTAATTTCATCCCTTGTTGTTAAGTGCAACTTGATATTTAAGATAAAAGATCAAATCTTTTTCCTAAACTAAGGGTTCAATGTTGTTGTCGTCTGTTTTGCAGGTAAGGAACCTGGAGTATTTGATATTGTAATCGTTAATGATGACCTGGAAGAAGCCTATGAGAAACTCAAAAGTGTTCTTATTGAGGTAATAATGTTACAACTTTGTAAAAATACTTTGTTGACATGCTTATGTTGATTTGTTTTTGTTTTGTTTTGATTTACAGGAAATTGAGAAGGTTCAAGATGCCCAGAAATAGAAATAAATGGCACTTTTTATTTTTCTGCACGATTACAGAAGACATGAAGCCTTTTTTCCAGCCTTGGATGGTGCAATTATAGTGTTGGCTCTCATGTCAAACTTGAAAACGCTTTAACGGTTAACCAAGACAAGTGTTATATTCATAAGAATGTGATATAGATCTTTTCTCTGACTGTGGGACAAAATCTATGTGCATTTTAACTTATTTCACGCACAGTAAGGACTTGTCTCTTTAACCTCTTTCAGGAGCATATTTGCACCTTGAATATTGAAGTGGGGAAACTGTGTGGTATCCTGATTAAACTATAGTTTGTGTGTTAATTCTATAATACAAATATGATTCTTTTCAATATTTGTGATCCTTATAGACAGCATGTTTAAATCCCACATAGTCAAAGGGTTTAAATTTATTTAAGAGAATGATTAGTTTGCACATTCATGTTTGTAAATTCGTTGGACAAAGAAGTTTCTGGTCTAGCTGAAATAAAATGAAAATAAAACCACAATAAAGCATTTTTCTGTTATTATTTTTTTGTTCTTCTAATTTATTCTCAAGGAGAACTAATTAACTCTAGTATGCACTCACCGGCCACTTTATTAGGTACACCTTACTAGTACTGGGTTGGATCCCCTTTTGCCTTCAGAACTGCCTTAATCCTTCATGGCATAGATTGAGCAAGATACTGGAAATATTCCTAAGAGAATTTGGTCCATATTGACATGATAGCATCATGTAGTTGCTGCAGATATGTCAGCTGCACATCCATGATGCGAATCTCCCATTCCACCACATCACAAAGGTGCTCTATTGCAGTGGTTCTCAAACTGTAGTACATGTACCACTAGTGGTACGCAGGCTTGCTTCTAGTGGTACGCGGAGGAATGAAATATGTCATATAAATGCCATGCACACATTTCAAAATTTACCTAAAATTATGTATATAATATGCCATATTTGACATATAGCCTATATTTCTGAGATATTCTGCCACGTTTTTTTTTACTGTGCAGAGTTGTAGCTGCTTTACTGGGTCTACTACGTGACTGTATTTCAATACTGCTCATTTTGGTGGTACTTGGAGAGACTATTTATTTCTGAGGTGGTACTTGATGAAAAAAATTTGAGAACTGCTCTATTGGATTGAAATCTGATGACAGTGGAGGCCATTTGAGTACAGTGAACTCATTGTCATGAAACCAGTCTGAGATGATTTGTGCTGTATGACATGGCCTGTTATCCTGCTGAAAGTAGCCATCACAAGATGGGCATACTGTGGTCATAAAGAGATGGACATGGTCAGGGGCGGACTGGCCATAGGGAGCATCGGGACATTTCCCGGTGGCCTGATGGTTAATCTGGCCTGCCACCTGAACATGGTCAACAACAATACTCAGGTAGGCTGTGGCATTGACATGATGCTTAATTGGCACTAATTGGTTTAAGTGTGCCAAGAAAATGTCTCCCACACCATTACACCACCATCACCAGCCTGATCAGATACAAGGCAAAATAGATCCATGCTTTTATGTTTGTTGACGCCAAATTCCGACCCATAGACCTACAGTACGTGTTGTGCATTCAGCTCTTTGACATACCTCGGTTGAAACCTTGTGTGGTTATTTGAGTTACTGTTACCTTTCCATCAGCTGGAACTGGATATTTTCTCTTTTTCGGACCATTCTCTGTAAACTCTAGAGATGGTTGCATTAAAATTCAAGCAGATCATCAGTTTCTGAAATACTAGACCAGCTCGTCTGGCAGCAACAACCATGCCCTGTTCAAAGACCTTTCTTCCCCACTCTGATGCTCGGTTTGAACTGCAGCAGAGCGTCTTAAACATGTCTTCATGCCTACATGCATTGAGTTGCTGCCGTGTGATTAAAAAAATGCGTTAACGAGCAGATGAGCAGGTAAGTGGCCAGTGAGTGTATTAGAACTTTAAAAATGTTGAAGTTCTAATAATTTTTTTTGTTGAAACAAAAAGCGATGAGGAGTTTATTTAAGTGCATAAAAAGTAACGAAACTAAAGATGAAGATTTAGTAAAGGAGAATGCAAATAGTAACAGATTTTCACTAAAATGTGGGCTAGATTGGCCATGGTTAAAATTGTGCAAATCTTAGCATAATGGTATGATTAATAATGTGTTGTAGAAGTTGAAATACTTGTGTCTCACAAGCCCTGGTCTGGAAATGAAGCAAATAATATTATTTTCACGCCACTGTGATTGAATGTGCCAAAACAGACACCGTACATCTCAGTAACCATAGCAACGACAAACATTGGCGGAAGTGAAGGTGAGAAACGGGTCGTTCTTTTATAAACATGGCAAAACAGCGAAAACTAAAATGTTAAAGTAACACATATTTGTTACTTCATTTAAAGAAAGATTTATATAATATGTAGAAAACAACCACCATTAGACACATTAGACACAGCTTTTTTATTATTGCAAACAAAACTTTAAATCACAGCTTTCAGATATATTAAGATGCATAATGGCGGTTATAACATTTTATATAACGTTATTGTTGTTTTATTAATCTTAGTTTATGTGCTATAAATAAACCTATATAATGTTTTGAATCTATTCATAACTGTTTTTACATTAGAAATAACGTTGACATCTGTGTTTTAATGTTCAGCAGTCGTTACATGCTCGAGTCATGTTCAGCAGTAAGGAGCAGCTGTCCATCAGTCAGGTCATGTGTTTTCTCCATGAGTGGGACCAGGCCAATAAAACAGTGCGCAGTCGAATGCTGAGGGATTTTCTGGACAAGAACGAAGGAAAGACGTGCCCTGAACTGGAGCTGGAGTTTGCTCAAGTCGCCAGCCTGTTCCTGTCTCGACTCACTGCCTGGTTAAGACTAACGTATCCACACAAAATACTCATGTTTTACAAGGAGGTAAAGTTGATTTTATATTTGGAAATGAATATATTGTGTACCATGAAACTTTGAATATTCTTTTAGAAATTAAATGTAAATATGACTAACATTAACGTTTACACCATTTGACTGTGAACAGTGTTGCACTTTGATAGTCTTCTGATCGGCTTCTAATATGATTTCACTATTTAGAATTTGCAAAGAATACTTTTCCTGAAATTATATTACTAAAGAGAAAGTCTGAATAAATAGAAAACCAACTTCACCTAAATATGTTTTTAGGAAAAAATAAGAGGCAAAGCAAGGCAAACTTTATTTATAGAGCACAATTTTACACAACCATAGTTGATCCAACGTGCTTTACAATAAAATAAAATATTTAATAAACAAAATATTTATTATACTAAAATACAGATAAGAAATAGCATGTATCCATCACTTAAAGGCAAGGGAATAAAAATAAGTCTAAGTTAGATTGAAAGACATCTAATGATGGAGAAATCCTGGTGTTCAGAGGGAGACTGTTCCAGAGCCATGGGGCCACAACACAGAAAGCTTGATCACCTTTGATTTGCAGAAACTGATCATGGGACCTTAACAGCCTACAAGCTGGATATGGCCTAATAGGCTCACTGATATAGACCAAGGCAGAATTGTGCAATGCTTTATATTTGAAAAGAAGGATTTTAATATTGAGGAAATATAGGAATTATAGGAAGCCAGTGCAATGAGGTAAGGACAAGAGAGATAAGATCTCATTCTTAGTCCCTGTTATTAATCTGGCGGCTACATTCTGAACCAACTGTAACTGAGACAGTGTTGACTGAGGTAGACCAATGTACAAAGAGTTGCAGTAGTTTAATCGAGAGGAATTTAAAGCATGAGTTACAATTTCTAGATCGTTTTGTAAATAAACAGTTTAACTTTTGCCACTAATCTAAGTTAGAAAAAGCTTCTCTTTACAACTGCATTTACATCAGGCGTGTTCTAACTCAGTCCTGGAGGGCCAGTGTCCTGCAAAGTTTAGTTCCGACCACAGTCAGACACACCTGGGATAGCTAATCAAGCTCTTACTAGGCTTTCTAGAAAGAAACATCTATGCAGGTGTGTTGAGGCAAGTTGGGGCTAAAATCTGCAGGACACCGGCCCTCCAGGATCGAGTTTGGACACCCCTGATTTACATGCTTGTTAAACTGCAAAAGTGGATCAAAAATAACTCCGGGATTCTTGGTGTGATTGTGCAGACCACTCCAAGATTCTTATTTCCTCTGGATTTACGGTTTTATAGATATATTTGATTAAAACACCCCTACCCGTTAATCAGTGATGATATTTCTTTTTGAATATCAAACAAAAGTGTTGCCATTGAGTTATTTTTATGTTGTTGCATGAAAACAAAAATGTGTCATGATTATATTTATTTTCGAAGCAATACGAATTTTATCATTTAAACATTGTTTTTGTATTTCATAAAAGTGGAGTAATTAATATTTAGAGGGATCATTTTGATTTTGAATCACAACAAACTAAAACAAGTTTTTCTGACTATTTACTATTTTCTGAAAAAAAAACTAAATGATAATATTTCTATTTGAAATGTGAAAATAATAAAACTAAATCAACACTTTGATATAATAAAACAAATTTTAGCATTTTACTAAAACCCATACCCAGTAAATCCACATAATCTGTTCATTTTTTCAAGTGATCTCCTTTTTAATTACTTGTCTGTGCTTCAAAAATGAGTTACCCCTTACACATATAACTAAAACTTAAACATGTTTAAGATTTCAGTTGTTGTGTCTATCCTTACATTTCATTTTTCCAGATACATGTTTGGAACATGTCTAGACCTTCAGTTGAGAGCGGTGGGCGTATTCCTCTCTGACAGCAGCAAGTAAAACAGAAAACAAATCTTCTGATTATAATTTCAGTACTAGTGGTCAAATACGTTAAATTAAAAAAATGTATAAAAAGATTCAATAAATTGCACCACTTATTTGCCAGAATATAAGCTTTGGCTCTAGAACAGGTTGTCAGCAGGGTCTGAATTTTAGGTCTTAAAAAGTCTTACATTCACTGACATATTGTGTTGTGGGTCCTAAATAGTTTTAAACAGGTTTTAATTTAGCTTTGTCCAATTAAAGCTACTCAATTTGGGCTGATATCCATCCAATGACCAACAATATATATATATTGTATTGTATCTATATACTTACATTTTTTATATTCAAAATTTTTATTGCAGAGACACAATGCACAGCAGCTGTTATTATATAAAAAAAAAACAATTACACGATTTCTCATGATAATACCTGGCCATTAGAAAAAAATCTTAACCCTAAATACCCTTCTTAAGTCTAAAATTTCATTTCTGATGGTCCTAAAAAGTCTTAAATTTGACTTGATGAAACCCGCTGAAGCCCTGTAGAAGTAAAACTTCTGAACAAGAGCAAAATAATACAGAATGTAACACAACGTGACAGCAGAATGGAGTTTTTGGTTTTGTTTGTATGATCAGTCATCAGTACATGATGGAGTTTCTGGAGGTTGGTGGAGTGCTGACCCTGCTGGAGATTCTAGGACAGGACAAACTCAAAGAAGAGGACAAGACCGAAGCTCTTCGCCTGCTTCAGATCATCAGCAACACCGGCCAAAAATATAAAGAGCTTGTCTGTGAAAGCTACGGTATTCACACAGCCTAACAGCGCCGCAAACTGACAATCAAAACAATGAAACAGCTCCAACTTATTTTGCAGCGATACATTAAGAAATGAGAGTTTGCAACATTTCCATGAAATATTTTGTGAGGTTAAAACCCCAATCTGGATCCGTTTGGGGATCTTGGCAGAAAACTTTAAACATACACACACACACACACACACACACACACATACACATACACTGGATCATGAACTGATTTCAGTGCTCACATCTGTTGTTCTGTGATTGACAGGTGTGAAGGCCGTAGCTGAATGTTTGGCCAAGTCTGAGACGGAGGAGACTCAGGAGACCGCAGCCGCCTTTCTCGAGTCTTTGGCACACGGAAACCCCAAATACCAGAATCAGGTGTACAAAGGGCTGATCGCTCTGCTGACCTGCACTTCACCACGAGCACAACAGCTTGTTTTACAGATCCTGCGTATAGTTCAGGTACCACAGTGTACAATAACAGGATGAGAATCTGCAGAGGAGTTTTGAACTGTTTACAGAACTCTTTTATTTAGATCAAAGATGAGACTTCCACATCAAAAGAATGTATAGTTATGTCTTTTAAAGAAAACATATTGAATGTAAGAAAAGGAAAGTCATTCATCGTAATGAATACATTTAAAGGGCACCTATTTTACCTCTTTTACAAGATGTAAGATAAGACTTTGGTGTCTCCAGAATGTGTCTGTAAAGTTTCAGCTCAAAATACTCATCAAATAATTTATTATAGCGTCCAGAATCTGCCCATTTTACTAACCAAGTTCAGTGCAGCTGTTTTTGTAGCCTGCGGCTTTAAATCCACTGCTCTGATGTGTGTATGCTTGTCAGGCTAAACGTCATATACAGTAAACAGCACAGTGACAGACAGACTCGGATAAAGCTGAAGTAAGGTCATTAGTCAAAAATACCAAGTAAGTTTATTGGATGTACTTGTGGTGGAGTTTAATCAAACCTTTCTGAAACGATGAGTCACACAAATGTCCCTTGCAGTACACACATACCGACACACATACATACTTTATGCGCGTTTACTGACACCATGCGGCCGTGGTGATTATAGCGGTTAAGAATTACATAGCGATTTTACTCTCTTTTTTACAAACATGCTCTGTTTTAAAAATTTTTTAAACTTATAAAATTAATTATTGAGGTGCAGCTGATCACAGAGAGTTGTAACATCATCCATGTTTTAATCCCAGTTTCATTTCAAAAAATATTTTTTGGACATGTGTATACATGGTATTATGCAGACTCGGCTACTGTCAATCAATTCGGTGGGCGGGGAAAACCGCACTCCTACATCCCGTTGTGGTGGGCCTCAAAATTGGAGGGATTTGGATTCTATTTTAACGTCAGGAAATTAAAAGTAAAAAAAAAAAAAAAAAAAAAAATATATATATATATATATATATATATATATATATATATATATATATTTATTCACTGCGTCTGAAACCGCATGCTTCTATACTATACAGTACGCTAAAATCAGTATGCGAGCCGAGTAGTATGTCCGAATTCATAGAATTTCGGAAATCAACATGCGAGAAGTACCCGGATGACTTATACTTCCGGCGAGATTCTGAAGTGCGCATCCCATGCACTCTGCGCTATCCCATGATGCCCCGCGAAAGAATTCATGAATGGAACAAAAGAGCTTAGAATGACCAAAAGGCAACACTTTAGTGTAATTTGGGAAACAGCCACTAGAGGGCGCGACGGCCATTTTGGAATGAAAAGCAGCTGCTTGCCATCGCGACAGTAATGAGAACCAATGGACAGCCGATTGCTTTCACTCCAAAATGGCGGAATCCAGGGCTGTTGCTGGGCGCTGCTGTTGCAATGGAACGTTCTATTGAGTGTCGCCTCTTGGTCATTCCAAGCTCTTTGATGGAAGAGAAGAGATGCAACTTTAAATTAAAATGATTACTGATCCTGAAATGTACTCATTACAGTTAGTGATCATTCTTAGTTATATTAGTGACAAATGTTTAATTAAGTTGTTTATAGTTCACCCAAAAAAGAAAATTCTGTTGTCATTTACACACCCTTGTTCAAAGCATTTGAGTTTCAATGGGTGCCAGCAATCAGCATTTTTCAATGTATCTTCCTTTGTATTCAACAGAAGAAAGAAACTCAGAAATGGTTAAAACCACATAAGAGAGAGTAACGAGGAAGTAATTTTAAATTGTGGGTAAATTATCCCAACACAAGTATATTGTATGTCCATGTATGATTTAAAATTTGATTTAATTAGAATTTTACACTCTTTAAAAATGTAGGGTCCACCCAGTTGGCCCAATGCCGGTGTCCACTGGTGGATGAAGGTTCACCGCATGTTCGATCTTTCCAGTGCACAATGTTGATTTATATTAAACTTAACTCATATCTGACTCCAATTTTAGTATGAGGTGGTTTAGAATATTAATATATTTATCCTCGTTTTATCTGACTCCAATCATAAAACATTAAGAAGATTATATCAATATGTAATTTAGATAAATGTTTGAACCGTTTGTCTTCACTAGTAACTATTACATCCGTTCATTCGGGTGCTCATGTCGCTCAGAGAAATCGCCTCGGCCGAAGGCGTCCCTCACGGTCACACTCCGGTCAGTCTTGAATATTAAACAGAGGTAAATTGACTAATACTTTAGATGGCCGCTACCAGCGCGCTCGTTCTAAAATACTTTAGTTAGTCCCGCTTAGATGTACACCTTTGAGTTAAGACAATCATCATTTCTAATTAGAGGTTAGGGCATTAATATAAATGTACCCGACTACTGGACTCTATAGTAACTTTGGTTTTCACCAAGCCCATGGTTTCCCATATGAACTTAATTTAGAATAATATTACCTTCAAACAAAGGTCGGGTACCCAATCTAGGTTAGTCGTGCAACACCTTGTTGACCTAGACGGAAGTTATCGCCCTTTCCACCTAAGTACACATGAATCAATATCAAGAGTCAGCCGGATCGCTAAAACACAATTAGTGTGCCAATGCTCCATCTCAATTGGATTTTAGTCCGTCTACTGACCTGACGCAAGACGTGCGGAAACAAGGATACAGCGTAATCTACTTGAATTAATAATTACAGAGTAAGCAAAATATGGTCAAACATTACAATTTATTAGTCAGGTAAATGTATTATGCCAATTCAATCAGTCAATTCATAAATGATCAATACAAAACATCAAATTATCAAAGATAAATCCAAGATGAAAAAGATGCATTCCTGACTTTGAAATATACATAACATGGGGCAGACCCCATGTTATGGGCTGATCTGGTTAGGCAGAATCGCCCTGAGTCCTTCTTAGGCCTTACCTTAAATAATCCAAGAATTCCCTCAAGGAAGGGGGTGTGAATAACAAAGAAGGCATTCACACTTAAGGCTGGTTTATACTTCTGCGTCAAACACCGGCGTATGCTACGGCGCTGACGCATAGCCCTTCGCCGTGGCCATCGCCGTCACTGACGTGCACCTCTCAAAAAATGTAACTACACGTCGCAACGACGCGTAGCGTAAGCTCTGTGATTGGTCGGCTTGGTAGCGCTGACGAGTCTGGGCGGGACCGAGAGCCGCGTGAGCGATTGTTTACAAGTGTGGAGTCCCGTGAAGGAGCTCCGGATGGAAAGTTTTGTTTTGTGTTTACCTCATAGTTAAAGTTGTTGCACGTCCGCCGGTTCCTGCCTCAAATTGAGCGAGTTTGAGCCACTTGTACATCCCGGAAGTGTTCAGGAAAAGCAAAAAAGTAGCGAAGAAACTCGACACAGAGAAACATTTACACCTCACTGCCAACTAGCGTTTCGGAAGTGTTAATGCAGGCCGACAGAGACAGCGCGCAGAAGTATAAATGCACAGCCACGCGCGTTGCCTGCGCCGTGGGTTACGCCGGTCACCTGACGCAGAAGTATAAATCAGGCTTTAGTGTTACACCTCTCACAGTGGTTCAAAAGATGCCTGAAGTTATATATTTATTGTTCTGATTATGTCTATTTCTGAGAGAATGAGACCATTGTACCAATCGCACTGAGACATTTCAAATGATATCAAACATGATAGTTAAAGTCAGTTTGGTTAATTTAAAACATTCAAACATTGAAATGACCATATGCATGAATTGGGGGGGTGAAGCTGAGTCTCAGATGCAAATGCAGCAGGAACTGGTTTTTCCCGCATACCCCTTGCTGAGTTGTGAAGTTACCAGTCTCTGTTTTCAGCTCATGTTTTGAATTGTCAAAGATATCAGAATATTTGCAATATTTCAATTCTTACAGATAACCCCCATTTGATCCCGTGGGTCAGATATAAATGTGCCCATGGGGTCACTATGTATCCTTGTTGAGGTCGTTCAGGGGCAATTCAAGACAGTCTCTGCAGCATTATCAGTTGTAAGTCGTGTTCAGCAGGTAGCTAAACAGGTCCAGGCTCGTTTTCACCTCTTTTGATGAGCCTGACCCGAATGCACTGCTCATTCAGTCCATACAGGCCTTCATAGCTTCCACTGTGTCCTTCCCCTGACAAAAGTGTCCACGTCGTGTGGGCTTCTCATAGTCTGCTTCTTCTGATGAATCTGGTCACCTCCAGATATGCAGACATCGGCATGTGGGGGTCTACAGTGTGTATACACTGCCTTCTCCCGGACACCTAAATAGCAACTTGATGGCTCAGCGATTGAACAATTATGAACTTGTGTCATTCTGCATTGGAGAAAGTCATGAGGTTAAGCATAAAATATATGATCAAAACATAAAAGTCAGCAAGTGCGAGTCGTACAACTGGTCTCAGGTCTCTTTCAATCTGTTTAAAAGGTCCAATCAAAAACAGATAATTCTTTGTCACCACTGAGATAGGGTATAATGATAGGGAAAATATTAAATATTCTTGGTTTGAATTACTCAAGGTAAAGCTATCAAAAGGTCAGTGCAACTTATTAAAACAGTATAACAGGCAGTATGCATCATAAAACATATCATCATGACAATACATTCAAATAAATGACATTCATTTTCAAAATGAAAAAACGTGAATATATTTGTCATACATGATAGTAATTACATTATTTAACCATAATTATGAAGGTATATCTATAATAATGTGTGTGTTTGTGTGTGTATGTTGTGTGGTGTGTGTGTGTGTGTGTGTGTGTGTGTGTGTGTGTGTGTGTGTGTTTATGTGTGTGTGTGTGTGTTTGTGTGTGTGTGTGTGTGTGTGTGTGTTTATGTGTGTGTGGGGGGGCTTGAACACAATTGATGGTATTTGTCAAATTTAAATGTCCTAGTGATTATTAGAAGTGTCCTCACTTCGGTTTAATTTTAATCACTTTAGCACTTATACCTGTTATTGGTGATAGATTGGAAAACCAGGGGCCCTCTGATTTGTCAACCATCCCCACAACAGTCAGTGTATCTATGGCAAGTTCGCCTCTATTGAAGTTTTATACCATCAATTTGTTGTCAAAGCCATGCAAATGTGTAATTTCTTTTCAGCTGACAGAGGGTGTCAGAGGGTGTTTGTTGTCTCGTCTGTCATCAGATTAATTATTCTGTTCTATGTGTGTGAGGCTAATGTGTTTTGTTTGTATAAACATGGACAAAAGATCTTAACTAAAGAGATTTGACTCCTGGGTCTTTGAAGACTGAGGTGTTATCTATGTGCCTGGGTTTACCTGTGGCTATGTGTCCGTGTAATGCTCCGAACAATGGTAATCAACTTTTATAATTGTGTTGCAAAATTTTAGTCCTGTCTTAGCAGGGAGCCAGCATAAGAATGTGAACATGAGGTGTGTTCCGGCTCAAATTGATTCCATATAATATCTTTTACGGAGCATGTTAAGGTGCAATGTTCAAAGCTGGATCCTGTAAAAAATGCATTTTCATGGTTAATTTAATTATCACACTCTATACTCCTGTTTGTAGTTCAAACTGCAGCTATACAGGGGATAGCAGAGTTTTCTACTTTTGGAGCTCAAAGAAACAAATATCATGAATTTCAACATAGTTAATTCCATTTTCATACAGGACATGTGGTTTAACATGTGTATAGTATAAAAACAAATTTAAAAATGCCACCAGGATTCGTGACAATAGAGTCTGTTGCTATTGGTCTTTGCAGGAACAATGCAGTAAAGTTCTTTATCGCCTCTAGGTAACCAGGGTTTTAGTCCCATTGCTATTAAGCAATTTGGGAAGATTTTAACTATGAGATCTTTCATGTCTCTGTTTAATTTAACATATAATAATTTACATCTTAGTTGAAGAAAGATGTTTTGTGAAATCACATAGCCTCCTAGAATGCTGAATCCATTGATAAGATCAGCTGTGGATAATTGTTATTCTGATGACTGATCAAAGACTTTTTCAGAGGACTCACTGCAGGAGGTGAGGGATTTGCCTCACAGGGGTTCTTGCTTTGAGATGCAAGATGGGAGACCATTGGCCTCTCAGGTTATGGCCTAACCTTTTGTCGCCCTCATTTGTATTTGTTTGATGTGGACCGGATCTTGAGTGTTCTTTGTTATTCGTCCGCCTAAGGTGAGAACAAAAGCAGAGAAGAACCATAGTTATTTTAGAATTTTCATCAGTTTCAAATTCAATCATGTGGAATTAATGTTAATGCATCATTTTGCAATATTAATTCTGGAAGCCACATGATGTTGCTGGTCAGATCTGTGAGTGTGTAACACCTGTTTACACAGTCTGCTGTATTCTGAGCATTATCTCCCAGTTCCGCTGGGGACATTTTTCTGAATCAATCAATGATTTTTCATTAATTTCAGTTCACAATCTAATGGGCCGATACCCATAGTTCATTTTTTTGCTCTCATTAACAGTCAGATCTGTTGGCAGAAATCATTTCACCCTTTTGGTGTTCTCTGCTTAACGGTTGTCATTTTATGGTGTGACTCACAGATTCTTAGATCTTTTGACCCATAAAAACTTTGGTAACTCTGAATGTTATCATATCCATCACCCTTTCATTATTTTTCTGGTGAGTTTAACTCTCTGATCAAATTTTAATTGTAGGTGGTGTTTTTTCAGCGAGGATTATATTGGTTTACAATCAGTTATTCTATAGTAGTTCTGTCAGTGTTTTCATTAAGCATAAAGAAAGCAAACCTCCTCAAAGTGAATGTTTCATCTCTAGTCTTTAGTGCCATGATTGGCGATTATAATATAATGTACATTATTGTTTATTCCTAATGTAATTATATTATATTAAAATAGTATGTATTAAATATAATTATATCTGGTCTCTGGAGAGTGTTTTAGAACACAGTGCATTGTTTTATGCAATTACTGCAAACACATTCTGAGCATCTTATTATCACTGAGGTGAGACTTCTTTGCTCTCTGTCAGGCCATTTGAATATGAAAAGGTTTGAGCAATCAGGAGGTCTAAGGGCTTATTTAAAGCTAAAATCTTTTATATTTAGTCTGTTTCGAGATTAAATTAAAGTATAGTGGATATTTTAATTGATCAGCATCATATTTGAATTTATCCCCATTAAATTTAAATGGCAAATTTCTGATTTGTAAAAGCAGAGTTTTCATTAGAGCTTATTTGTCTTTTTTGCAATCAAATCATTCTGTTCTGCTCACCTTTATTTTTCACATGCAAATGCCTTTAAACAGACTGTTGTTATTAATCCAATTTAAAAGTTTACAATTGTTTTTAAATCTTAAACCATTTTTTCCTGTTTTCCTTTTTTCCATTTTTCTCTTTTTTATAAAACAGTAGATTTAAAACAATGGATATTTTTGATTCAAACTTTTAGGATCTAATTTGTGACTCTCCACTGAGTTCCAGAATATAATTTGGATGATGTTATTCCAATTTAAGCTTCAACTCTTGCTGCCTAGCAGACAAAGAGATATTTCAGAGCAAGGGATGGCGTTTTTCTATACTGCTGTTATCATGTCCCTGATAATCAAAGTGGTTTTGTCTAATTCTCAACCCCACCGGATAACGCATTCCGGTCTAACATTTTTGAGCATTTCCGACTCATTCTATCAATGTGTTTATATAGGGTGCGTCCAGCTTTCCCTCAACATTTCTAATAGGCAAAGAAGAATTGACTTACCACAGCAGCTGAAGATAGAATAGAAGATCCAAACCTCTTGGTTGATATAAATCCATTTTGTGCTGGAAAGACGTAACTCGCCTGAGTTGGGAGATCACGGAGATGGGTCACCATTTTGTAGGGTCCACCCAGTTGGCCCAATGCCGGTGTCCACTGGTGGATGAAGGTTCACCGCATGTTCGATCTTTCCAGTGCACAATGTTGATTTATATTAAACTTAACTCATATCTGACTCCAATTTTAGTATGAGGTGGTTTAGAATATTAATATATTTATCCTCGTTTTATCTGACTCCAATCATAAAACATTAAGAAGATTATATCAATATGTAATTTAGATAAATGTTTGAACCGTTTGTCTTCACTAGTAACTATTACATCCGTTCATTCGGGTGCTCATGTCGCTCAGAGAAATCGCCTCGGCCGAAGGCGTCCCTCACGGTCACACTCCGGTCAGTCTTGAATATTAAACAGAGGTAAATTGACTAATACTTTAGATGGCCGCTACCAGCGCGCTCGTTCTAAAATACTTTAGTTAGTCCCGCTTAGATGTACACCTTTGAGTTAAGACAATCATCATTTCTAATTAGAGGTTAGGGCATTAATATAAATGTACCCGACTACTGGACTCTATAGTAACTTTGGTTTTCACCAAGCCCATGGTTTCCCATATGAACTTAATTTAGAATAATATTACCTTCAAACAAAGGTCGGGTACCCAATCTAGGTTAGTCGTGCAACACCTTGTTGACCTAGACGGAAGTTATCGCCCTTTCCACCTAAGTACACATGAATCAATATCAAGAGTCAGCCGGATCGCTAAAACACAATTAGTGTGCCAATGCTCCATCTCAATTGGATTTTAGTCCGTCTACTGACCTGACGCAAGACGTGCGGAAACAAGGATACAGCGTAATCTACTTGAATTAATAATTACAGAGTAAGCAAAATATGGTCAAACATTACAATTTATTAGTCAGGTAAATGTATTATGCCAATTCAATCAGTCAATTCATAAATGATCAATACAAAACATCAAATTATCAAAGATAAATCCAAGATGAAAAAGATGCATTCCTGACTTTGAAATATACATAACATGGGGCAGACCCCATGTTATGGGCTGATCTGGTTAGGCAGAATCGCCCTGAGTCCTTCTTAGGCCTTACCTTAAATAATCCAAGAATTCCCTCAAGGAAGGGGGTGTGAATAACAAAGAAGGCATTCACACTTAGTGTTACACCTCTCACAGTGGTTCAAAAGATGCCTGAAGTTATATATTTATTGTTCTGATTATGTCTATTTCTGAGAGAATGAGACCATTGTACCAATCGCACTGAGACATTTCAAATGATATCAAACATGATAGTTAAAGTCAGTTTGGTTAATTTAAAACATTCAAACATTGAAATGACCATATGCATGAATTGGGGGGGTGAAGCTGAGTTTCAGATGCAAATGCAGCAGGAACTGGTTTTTCCCGCATACCCCTTGCTGAGTTGTGAAGTTACCAGTCTCTGTTTTCAGCTCATGTTTTGAATTGTCAAAGATATCAGAATATTTGCAATATTTCAATTCTTACAAAAAAAATCATCAAATCATTATCGTTTTGCTATATAGGCCTAGCTCTTTTCATCTTTGATTCATGTAGATATGGTGTGTATATAGTGTGCAATCACATGTTACAATCACAAATGTGTGGTTTCGGTACATTTGCATGTGACTTCATGTGTTTTTTTTCTGCATAGAGAATGTGACTTCATATACTGTATACTACTATACATATAAAATCTTTCTGTCTAGCCCATTGTCAAATCAGCCCATCACAGCATTGTGGAACCCCTACTAAATCTGCTGAGATCTCCACATTTAGAAGTGCAACATGAAGGCAATTTGCTCATTTCAGATTTTTCATTGTCTGTTGTTTACTCTCCTGTGATGCTCACTACCCAATTTCTTTCCAGCCATAGAGCTGATAACAGAGCTCATGCATTCAGAGGTTGGACAGGCTTTGCTCAGGGGTCTGGTGGCTTTTCTCAAACCAACTAAAGAGAGAATCCCCAAACACAAGATCCTGGAAGGTAAGCTCTGTTGCTCATTTTCTCTTCATTTGTTTGCTGTTTGCAACCAAAACAGCAGTTCTCCTACAACAGTACTGCTATGCACTATGATCATATTGCAGCATGGAGACCTCCTCAAATCCAACTACCTTTTATTCTTTGTAGTTTCATTCAGAGCAACAAACAAAAGAGACGAAAAACAAACATGGATTGTGGCTTGAATTAGCATTTTCTTCAATTAATTTATTTATCTTACACGAGAATCATAAACAGTCCTGTGCTGTATTTGAACTTCAGCTAAGCAGTCTCTTTGTCTTATTAGATCAAGAAATGGCCAAAACAACCGATTCACTCCCTGTGCTCCTCCAGCAAGCAGCTTCTGCTAAAACCATCAGGTAAAATCCACACTTCAAATACTCATGTCATGCATCCAAGACATATGGCACGCAAAATCTTATAAGACGTGCTGATCCGTGTGTTTATTATGCCCTGTTTACTGACGTGATGTTACAGGATTTTGGCACAGAGGAGTGAGGACGTATCCAAAGAGCTGCTTTCTCTCAGAGTGATCCATCACTTACTGTATGCAATGGGAAACCAGCAACATGCAGATTCACAGAGACAAGCTAGTCTGGCTTTAGAGGTACTGTTTAAACATCTACAGTTAATGTCATCTGCGTGCTACAAAATCGTAAAACCAAAACAAGAACAATAAATACACATTTTTAAAAGCTATAACAGCAAAATTATCATTGCAATTTATATTTTGATGATGATGGTGAAAGATGGCATCATGAAAGATGACACTGACAATAAGAATTTCAAAAACTGCAGCTTACTCTGCTAATTTTACAAGCCCCCGGCAAGTTTAACAGTTGTGTTTTACCATTTTTTTAGTCCATTCAGCCAATCTTTGGGTCTGGCAGGAGCAATTTAATTTAGCTTAGCAGAAACCATTGAATCGGATTAGACCAATAGCATCTCACACAAAAACAGTTCTCTGTTTAAAGCTTTTGTATTTATATTGTGTACTTAAAGTTATTTACTAGACCAATATGGCTAGAAAATATACTCTCATACTAGTGTAATAATGTTTAAAAATAGCAAGTGGATGTTTCCTTTAATATGAACAGAGTATTTATATGAATGTGTAATTGTCTGGATAGCATTTTGTGCGCATGTATCCAGTGGTGGAAGAGCATGTACGCAGAGCTATGGGCGCTGCACTGTTTGAGTCTTTCATGGTGAGGTCATTTCCTTTCACATATTTTCACAAAAGATTTACATTCAGTCTAAGGTGAACTTCTGTCTGTTGTTTATAGCACAATGTTGATGTCCTGCATTTGAGCATGGATGACATTCAAGCTGACATTTTACGCTCAAATAAAGTGAACATATCATGTGGTGAGTTGATAAATCTGGAGAGTTAGGTTGTGTTTTTGTCTATATTTCAAGACATTTTAACCTGTTCTTAATTTAATTTCTTGTATGTTATAATGTCCTTTCTTTTACTTTTTATTTTATAGTACTTGAAGGAGAGATTTCAGATGACTGAACATTGCTTGAAACAAGATCAACAATAAGATCAAATTTAGTTCATTGTGTTTTATACAGAAATTAATAAAGGTTATCACACAGATAGTGAAAGGTTTTCTTTATTTCTTTGGCTCAATCATGGGTCCACAAAATGATTGCATAAAAAAAGTAAAACCTGTATTACGTAAACATGTTAAATTATTAATTTTAAAATGTGCTTATTATTAATGGCTAATTCTTCAACTATGGGCACTTTTATGTCCTTTGATCATACATCCATAAATATATATATAATTTTGTTCAAATTCCTCTTTCTTTGTCAAACTAACCATAAAACCTACTTAAAAAAAACTAATACCTTTCTATTATATTTTTTTCATATTATTCAACCTGCTTTTATGGGTCAAAATCACTGTTTTCGCCTTGTTGCACACACAGAGTTTTAAACTTTACCAATGAAAATAACATTTTAAAATATTATTTATCTGGTATCTATTTATATATCTTAATTAAGCACTAGTGAAATAATTTAAATATTTTATAGTTATTAATGTGAGACTATCAATATAATTTTTCATACAAAAACATAGCTGTATGAAAACACTGTACCACAACACTGTAATGTCGCTTTAAATAGTATGTGTGAAAGATTATTTAGGTGGTTTCTATAAAAATGAATAGTGCCATTTGAGAACATTTTCAGGATTGAGGAAATTTTCATTTTTATCTACAACACATGAAGAAAAACAAGGAAATATTGCCTGATAAGGAAATACATTTATTTTACATCATTTCCAAACATGTTGTAGCTTCAAAGATGTTTTTAAAAACCAAACATGAAATGCTAGTATCAATTCAAAGCTAATCGGTGAAGCTATTTTTTTTTATTTTTCTCAATAAACTGTTAAAATGTAATTTCCACCACTGTCATTTTCATCACCACACACATTAAAAAATATATTTTAAAAGTTCTCATCACACATTAAAAATGTATTCACAATGTGTAAGTTATTATTCTATTTAATAAATCAATTCAGATTATTTATTTTCGAATAAGCTCTTAACCCAATTGTTAATAAATTTTAGAGTGTGACAATTCAACATACAACTAATTCATGTCATTGACAAATGTATAATTATCATAAATATTGTGGAAAGATTGGCTAAACTAGATACAAAAAAGATCTTAAATAATGTTTGACTGCCATCGTTTATTTCATTTTGAAATAAGCTGTATATTGAGATGTGGTGAAATTGACATTTGTTCAGTTCACGATGGAAAAAATGCTTCTCATCTAAGTTTGTCCTCTTACAGATCTAAAAACTATACAAATTATTTAAACTTATGACGTTAATTTTGAACAAGTTTTTTTTACTCAACTTAACAAGGCTAAAAGAGCCCGTAGTTAAGGAATGGCCATAATTTGATAAAAAAAAATTATAATAATAATTATTATAATTTGAGTAGTATGAAATTGCTAGGTTAATAAACAAACAAACAAGCAAAAAAAAAAACATTCATAAAGGGTAATTAAAAGCTATAGTCTTAAAAAAAGTAACTTGTTCCTATTAACTTTTTCTGGACCGCATAGGCGCACATAGGAAAGTAATGAGAATCTAATTTAAAGTCTAATTTTAAGTGTAAAATAAAAAGTGTTGTTTTAGGGTTGTTGTTGTTGTTGTTTTTTCATATCAAAATTTACATTTTAAACTTGATTTTCAAGCTTTCCGTAAGCTGAATTTTCCAACTTTTTATCATAACTAAAAAAATAAATAAATAACATATTCATACAAGAAAATTTGGCAGCACTTTATCATTTGTACACTTGGAAATCTTCTACCAAAAACGTTTTGTATACAGACAATGCCAGAAAAAAAAGGAGGTACTGTTTTTGGGTGTAATGAACAGAATAAACAACTGACATCCATGTCTTCAATAAATCTCGTTTAAAAAGCTTAACAGGGTACAATTTGTGTAGTATATTAAATTAGATTTCTTTTTTCATCGTTAAGAGCTTTTTTTCTTTATTAATATACGAAAATGAGAATATACAATCACTTTATATTAACAAGAAATTGAAGAGACAAAAAGAACAACATTTTTGGAAAAAGAAACAACAGATAAAAAACAAACAAACAAACAAAAAAAACAGGAGGGGTAAATACATTACACATTAAAGAGAAAAATTATATAATTTACAAATGTCAGTTGTTTTAAAGCCTTTTTTTTTGTAAAAGAGTAAGACACTGTTTCAAAGTAATACTGCATTTCATCGTTAAGAGCTCATTTTGACCATAGCAAGCGAGTGACGCGGAGTTCCAAAGTCAGCTATTGGTCCAAACTTTTCCCGCCCTCCAGGAAGTAAAACAGAAGGCGGGAGTCAAGCGCTGCAGCCGCATGATGTTGTTGTAAACAAGTTGGTGTCCTGTAAACAGTACTGTACATGTTGTATTAATCCATGATTTAAACGTACTTATTCGTCATACTTTTTTGTATAGGACCGTTTTTATGCGTGTCTGTTTCATGCATCCTCGATAGGTTTTAAGTCGAGCTTTTAACAGAGTTTAAAGAGCTGTTTAAATCAGAAGGCTGAATTAGCACTATGAGCAGGTTTAGATCTACGGTTCAGAAGGGGAAGATAGTGGCTTTAGAAAACACTGAGCTGATCAAATCCAGCAATAAGAACAGAAAATCAAAGCCTTCCATCAAAGGTGAGTGACTCTCACCGTCACACAGGTACATATGTAACGACCAAAAATATCTGCATATTCTATACGTTAAGTAATATAGATCTACAGTTTAATCTTTTTGCAAGTCAGAACTCAAAATGCTGGGTGACAGGTAAAGGGAGAGTTGACCCAAAAATGAAAATCATGTCATCGAGCATTTCTAACTTGTTTCAAAAGATAGTTTGAAGAATGTTGGAAACTGATTTCTTTAGTATTTTCCCCCCTGAAGTGGTAGTCAATGACTTGGCTACCAGTTTCTTACATTCTTCATAATATCATCTTTTGTGTTTAGCAGGTAAAAAAGTCTTTAAGTTTTAGACTGAGGTAAAGGTGGTTTTTGGGTGAACTATTTTTTTAAGGTCTTAATCTGAGTGACTTCAAGACACTTCGTTGTTTGCCTGTAAAGTTGTGTAACGTTAATGTTTGACATTATTGGCTTGCTTGTTTTTATTCCACCAGAGGAAACATCTGAAACTGAACCTTCATTATATCACATTTTTCATGATCCAACCGAAATATCTGTGTTCCGCTCTGACCTGATGAAGTGGTATGATGAAAATAAGAGAGAGCTTCCCTGGAGGACATTGGTAAAGCAATTTAACATATTATCTATATTTATATTTACTTTTTATTAAATATTATGGGGGGTTGTAGTTCTGAGAGATAATTAACATTAATATTAACATTAATTAACTTAATATAAGTAGATTTGATATATTGTATACATATAAAACCACTTAAATTGATTGTGTAAAAAACATAAATGAATCTTTTATTAGTTTATTAAATTGGGTAGACCTTAATTTTGATGGTCCATTTGTGTATTAGTAGACTGCTTGCTTAATATCTGTTGATACTGCTCCTTCAACTGACATTTAACTGATTATAAGAAACTTTGCAGGTACAACTTGCACTAACCCCAACCTAATAGTCTTCTTATAATCTAATGAGAATTAGTTGGCATGTACATACATGCAATGTAACTTAAATTCAACAAATGACCATCAAAATAAAGTGTGACCTTAAATAGTCAGTGCCACAACTAGTACGTCAAAAAGTATATGCATTAAATATTTTCCTGACTGCTTAATAAAATAAGATTTTTTTCTCATTTTGGATCTCATTGTAAACCATCCAGGCTACGACAGAACAAGATGATAATATCAGGACATATGCAGGTATGGAAATAAATTGATTGTCGCAATGATCATACCATAAATCTTATCTATCATAATTTTCTCTCTTGATATTCTCAGTGTGGGTTTCAGAAATCATGTTACAACAGACTCAAGTGGCCACCGTGATAGACTACTATAACAGATGGATGAAGGTAGACATGCTTCTTTGATCAGATTTCTCCTTTCGAAGCTCCTCTGGGCTGTCATATCTTAATGCTTTTTCCCTATATTTATTTTTAGAGATGGCCGACTGTGGAAAAACTTGCTGCAGCTACACTGGAGGTGAAAGTTAATCCACATATACACAAAATAAACACACAGAGACACGGTGAGCATCTGACAGCGGTGCATTGTTTTCTCCCTGCAGGAAGTGAACCAAATGTGGTCAGGTCTTGGATACTACTCCAGAGGACGTAGACTGCATGAAGGTGCTCAGAAAGTAGGTTTAAACAACATAACGGAGAAGTTATGCACAAACTTATGACTTAAGAGACATTATAAACATGATTTCTTAAAATAGGTGGTATCAGAACTGGATGGGCAGATGCCAAAGACTACAGCTGGACTATTAAAACAGCTGCCTGGTGTTGGACGTTACACAGCCGGGGCGATTGGTTCTATAGCACTTGGACAGGTACTTTTTTATGTTGATTAAATTTGATCTCTGCGCTACTAACATCTGATTTTTACACAGTCTTTCTACACTAACCATCTTCACAATATTCGATTATTTTATGTGTAACATGTCTTAAACTTCAAGAAGAAAGCAATGTCCCAAGCTTTTGCTAATGATCAGGCTGAAAATTGATTTGTGGATATGAGTGAAATATTACCAAATATTACTCCAAATACTACTTTTAATTTAATTACTTGCATGATACTCTAGTAAACAGTAAATATCAATTTGTGTAGTGCTGCATCACCTATTAAACATGGAAGATAGATTGCTGTAAATAAAGTTAGTTCGTTTACTGCATTGGTTCCTATTGTTCTCCAGGTAACAGGTGCTGTTGATGGAAACGTCATTCGAGTTCTGTGTCGCGTTCGAGCCATAGGAGCAGACAGCAGCAGTCCTGCTGTAACAGATGCTTTGTGGTACTGAAATATCTTAACAAGTTTATCTATTGTTAAAATTCACGTTTAAGCTTTTTCTGGAGGTTTTCATTCTGTTTTAAAGTGTCCCAAAACTAAAAAACTTTACCT